TACCCCATTAAAAGAAAACCAATTTTCTGTTATAAAAGAATCCTAGATGTATTCATTAATGTTTCTAATGTGAGAAAAAGTGGAAAGGCGTTCAGCTGCTCTATGAGCCGTTTCTCTTTGCTTCCCAGGTTAAATAATCTAAATTAATGTTTTCTGTTCTTCCCCAGTTGTGAAGCAGCGGATGCAGATGTTTAACTCCCCTTACCGCGGGGTCTCAGACTGCATCAGCTCTTTGCTGAGACAGGAGGGAGCGGCCGCCTTCTACCGCAGCTACACCACCCAGCTGACCATGAACGTCCCGTTCCAGGCGCTGCACTTCATGACCTACGAGTACCTGCAGGAGCTCCTGAACCCCCACAGACAGTACAATCCTTCCTCCCACGTGGTGTCCGGCGCTCTCGCCGGAGCCCTGGCCGCCGCCGCAACCACTCCCCTCGACGTCTGCAAGACCCTCCTCAACACGCAAGAAGCTCAGGCTGTCCACGTCATCCAGGCCGGGACCGGCGGGGCGGCGGCCGCCTCGGGTCCCGGGGCTCGCTACATCTCCGGGCTTGGCGAGGCTTTCCGGACTGTGTACAGGATGGGAGGCATGCCGGCATTCTTTAAAGGCGTCCAGGCCAGAGTCATCTACCAGATGCCTTCCACCGCCATCAGCTGGTCCGTCTACGAGTTCTTCAAGTACATCATCACGAAGCGGCAGCACGAAAAGAGGCTGCGCGGCGATCGGGACGTAGACAAATGATTGAGAGCCGTTCTCTCATGCTGATCACTGGTGGTGGTAATAAAATCTGAGCATCTCATTAGGTTCAAATAGAAGGCAGGTTATGGTTCTCAGCGTAAAAAAGTCAAAATAGTTTTGTTTACCACAGATGATGTGTAACCAAGTTCATATATAACACCAGGGAAGCCGACGGCGCCCTTATGGGCTCCGAGGCCGACCTGGAAACCGCAGGAGTTTCTGACTCCAGCTATTATTCTACTGTTCTGTTCGACAAACATTTCTAACTGGCTGTGAAATAAGATCATGAACATGTATAGGACGTACTAGGTGCTGCTATTTTCTGACCACCAGAGGGCGCAGTGTTGAGCTGCCGCTCTAGACGGATGCAACAGAGAATCTTAATGTGCTGAAAACATTCTGCTGTATCACAGGAACATTAGTTTGATCCCAGAGTCTTTGTTCCCCCTTTTTTGGAAGTTTTCTGAATGTTATTAGAAGCTGATAACAGGCTCCTCAGAGCAAAGGATTAAAAAACAAAAGTCTGTTTTTAAAGGAAAATATTGCGAACAGAAAAAGAAGTCAGTGTGTGAAGCCAACAGGAAGACGGATGACTGACCGCAGGCATGGGCTGCTCAGTTCATCTGTATCGCGGTATTTAAGTTAAAATTGGCCCTACTTAGATAATATATTAGCTATATTATAACAAACATCTTCCTATATTCAATGCATAGATTTAAGCTGCATTAATTTAGATTTAGTTTTTAAATAATTAGGCTTAATTTACCCTTTTTATAATTGGATTTACAAATGTCAACCTGGCTAAGTAACATATTGCAATAGGGCTGTCCCAATCTGATATTGATATCAGCAGAAATGTTCTGCTTCAGTTTAAAGTTTCTTTAACTTATTGGTTAATATCACATGGGCTTTTGCTCTCTTTTAGTAGAATAACTTGATCAAATCTTTGCTAACATTATACGTCACGAAATAAGTAATAAAAACCCGTCTGATTCGTCTTTATATCACGTAGGAAAGCAGGAAACCCTTATATTTTCTTAAAATATAACCACTACCATCTCGTTTAAATCACAAAATTCCAACTTTAACTGTGTAATTACATTCAATTTTACCGTAAATAGTTTATTCCTAATGATTACATAGTTACTTAGCGGACTAATGTATTATAACCATTATTTATTGATTCATGTTTTCCCTGAATATTACTAAATTCCTTCCTATTATTGAGGAATAAAAGCATGAGAGCCTTTTTTTTAGCCAGCTCCCTGGCAGTGTGCAGCAGCTGCTTGTCTGGGGGCCCGTTCTCTGTTACTCCATGCTCCATACGGAGGACATTAAGCACTTTTTCTGGCTACTTACGGGTTCTTTAAGCCGGGGTTTGTTAACCCAGCTCTTCAGGGCTCACCATCCTTCATGTTTTAGATGCATCTCTACTCGACTACACCGGATTCAAACTGTTTCATTCCTCCTCGGCAGCCATCAAATTCTGCAAACCTTTTCATTCAGGTCAGGTGTTCAGAGGCAGGGAAACCCTCATTTAAGCCATCGTCAGAATGTGCTTTAGAGGATCTTGCTGGTTGGAAATTTAGCTTCTGTTCAGAGTTCTGCGTACCTCGATACAGGGACCGGGGCCCATGCCTCACTGACATCCTGGGAGGTTAGGATCCAATCCTTCAGGTCACATCCTTAAGTGAATTATAAACACTTTATTTCTAAATATATATATATATATATATTAGACAAAAAGGTGAGGAGAGTTTATTTTTGTCAGTATTTTTTACGTAAAGCTGCACACTACAGTAGCACTTAGGGTCAAAGGTTATCAGATTTAGTACAGGAGATCTGTAAATAAAACTGCTCACAGGATGAGGTCATTCCTCCTACACATGCCTTCAGTTAGCCGCCGTACAGCTAACGCACAACTTCACATATCCTCCCAGATGTAGTCCCGCTTTGAAGCCATGAACTTTGAAGACGGGATGTAGAACGCACATCTGGAGAGCTTTTATTTTGAAAGAAATGCATATAAATTTGTACAAGTTAAAATCAAAGCAGTGCTATAAATCTGCAGAGCTGCTTTGCACCTTAAAAGAAATCCTGCAGTATTGAAACCCATATATGTACGTGTCGAAGAGGTTTCCTCATGTGATGCTGAGTTTTAAAACTGGAAAGCCAAAGACTGAGAGCTAAATGCAGGACAGGAAGTAGTTTGTCAGATGAACACAATATAAAATGCTTGAACAGTATTTTGAAAGCGACGCCTGTTTTTTCTTTTGTGAATTGTAAATAAACTCGCTAAGGCAGCTCCTCGCAGAAGCAGGGTCTTCTCTTGGTGCTGGCTCGCCAAGCGCTGAGAGATTACAAACGTGTCTGCTTGTCTTTCTTTCCTCACCCTCTCTTCTTTCAGCAAGACGCAACACAAACAGCCCCAAATGGCTGATAAGACCGTCGGGAGGTTTTATCTGGCAGACGGCTGCTATTTTAACCCTCCCGTCTACCGGTTTAGCACTTCATTTAGAAATGCTACCTCCAACAGCATGTTGAAGGATGTTTTTCACGCAGCAGGAGCAGCAATGTAAATCTTTAAACTGGCTTTTACACTTAGAGCCGAGTCAAGATATTTTAGGGAAGAAAAAAAAAGACAATTTTTAATCTGTTGCAAGGAATTTTTTTTATTTGCCCAAATTGAAGCCAAGCTTCTTTACAAGATGATTCAAAGAGCTGTACCTGAGGGGGGAAAAAAAGAAAATATGTTGCATTAGCATGAAGGTAAAGCATTTATAGGGAATAAAAATTATTACGTAGAACTATTTTAATTGGAAATAAGTTTATTATGAAGAAAATGGAGAAAATGTTTGTTGCAGTGTGGCAGTTTGTAGCACTGCTGCAGCAAAAGGTTCTTGGTTTGGTTCCAGGGTCTTTCTGCATGGACTTTGCATATTTTCCCCTTGCATCTGTAGGCTCTCTCTGGGTACTCTAACCATTAGGTTAATTGGCTTTTCTAAATTTTTTTTAGGTGTAAGTTAGGGGTGGGTATTGCCAAAGAAGTCACGATTCGATTCTATCACGATGCATCACCATACTTGAATTATTGCGATGCATTGCAATATTTTCTCCTCCATGTTTTGTTTTTGAATGACTCGGCGCCGTATCCCGCGGCCGGAAATGCTTGTGACACAAGGCAGCGTAAGTCAACACATCCGCAGCGACATCTACTGGACTGGAAGTTGTATTACACTTGTTTTTGGCTGATGTTCGCCAACCATTCATGCAATTTTATTATTCATTTTTTTAAATTCATAATGATACTTGGCGTCAAGAATCGATGCAGTAGATCACGAAAATTAGAATCGCGATGCATCATCATGACGATTATTTTGCACACCTCTAGTGTAAGTGTGTGTGCATGGTTGTACATCTCTGGCTGCATCGTCAGAAAGCCGTATTTATAGACTGATTACGTCAAAGCTTTGATGCTGTCCTAATCCACCAATGCTATAAGGATCCTTCAAATGCATTCTTCATTTAAGATGATCTTCATGTTGGATTGTTGGTATCCTTTGTGTCCGTCCATTTCCCATGAATCAGTGTGGTTTGAAGCAGATTGGTCAAGATTAGGCATCAAAGACGGACGGCTGAGGCAAAAATTGTGAATTAAATGTTAAATCAAATGCTTTTTAGGACCAGAAATAAAGTTTTAAGATTTTTTAAGAGGAGAATGTGGTTTAGTTAAACTCAAATATCTCCTCTCTTCATTAAAATCCCTCCTAATTAAAAAAGCATTTTGCGTTTTCAGCACCAGCTTCCTGAGCATTGAACCTACTGCTGGTTCAAACAGTGGGGTGGAACTTAAAAGTTAAAGTTAAGCTTCAGAACAAGATCATTTTATTGAACTCTACTGGTGGAATAAGATTAATAATATTTACTGAAGCTCATCTTCATAAGCCTGCAGCCTCGAATACAACAGCTGCAATTCAACAAGTATTAAATAAAAAAAAGTCAGAGCAAATACTCGCGATCCAGCAGTTTGTTTTTCTCTAAGACCGGTCATGATGACGCCATGTTAATCTGTATTTCTTAGATTTGTGTTTTCCTCCAATATGTCAGAATAAATCATGTAAAAAAAAAAAAAATAAAGTTCACACCTAATAGGTCAATGCATCAATCTGTCACGGTTGCTAGGCAACCAAAGGGATACTGAGGTGAGAATACAGGACTCCTGCTGCAGGTTCTGGTTCTGCAGAGATTATATCCAGATGACCTGAGCGGTCCGGCTGTTGATCCACTGCCAACAATCTGGAACGTATTAATTTAGTGATTTATAGACTAGCGGAGTTTAAAGTCTATCATCTGAGATACAGGGAGTCAAGTGAAGGACTTTAGAACTGGGCTGTTCTCCACTTTCCTAGTACTAGTGAGGACGCAGGCAGCATCATTCTGCATCAGCTGCAGCTGTCTGGTCCACTTTTATAGGCAGACCTGTGAAGAGAACGATGCAGCGATCAATTCTACTGAAGATGAACAAAGCTGGAAACAGTTTTAAAGATCCTGCTGTCCTTTACTTCTGGAGATGTTCTTCAGGTAAGGTTTAGATTTTACATGTTAAAGTAAAAATATAGTCATTGTATAAATTAGAGGAACCTCCCCATGGCATCAGGAGATGGACCTGGTAGCTCCCTTGACTTCCTTGAAGAGGAGCTCTCTGCGAAGAGAGGTAGACGAGAGGGATGTTTGAGAAGAGGTGTTTCCTTAACCTTTCTTCCCCCTTTAGAAAGAAGAGAAGCTGATGATAAAGCACAAGAAGCAATGCCTTTACCGTCTGCCCCTTGGATCATCTTAGAAGAGAACAGAGAATGGAT